TGCCTTTTGGCAACTTTACTATGTCACAATTGTAGTTCTTATGCAAGGAATCCATCTCCTCTTCCATAACTTTATCTCACTCCTCTTTATATTCATCAATGAGCCTCGTAGTAGTTGAGCCCTTGCAATATTTAAGACATACCTCAGTTCTATTGTAGGTAGGGGTGGAAATGGGTCGAGTTCGAGAACCCAAACTCAAATAGTATTCGGCCAGGTTTTGGATCCGGACATAACCCGTCTAGTCCTAAAATTGGATTCATACCCTTACCTGTTAGGTTATGAGTCCACCCCGTCGGGTCCCAGGTCCGGTCGTGTCCATTGCCACCCTCACTATGAGCTTTTTTCTTCTTCTTTTTTTTGCCTTTTTTTTTACCATCATATACCCATATTATTAGTGATAAGGTCACAATCATCCACCAATAGATTTCAAGTCATTTGATTTGTCATTTAATAGCTAAAGATCACTACAAGTTCTTATTCTATACAATCTTTAATACACCCAAATGAATAGCGCTTGAAGTAAAGTATTTTACCTCCAACGTTTTATGCGTACAGGATGGGTACGACATAGGTCATGTTGGACCCGGACCCGAACCCATACCCGAATAGTGTTTGGGTCAAAGTTTTGAACCTGGAACCGATCAGTCAAGTCCAAATGCTGAACCTATACCCGGACCTGTGTTGGGTATACCTGACGGGTCTCAGGTCCTGGTCGGGTCTATTGCCACCCCTAATTGTAAGTGACACTTCTTGAATAGATTGTTCCTTGTGCTCCACATCACCCGGAACTTATCACTCTTGTGGAACCCATCCTATTCTTGGACTTCTCCCCCATTTTTATCATGCATCATAGTGGCATGGACTATGATTGGTCCTTATGAATCATTGAAAATATGTGGCTTTTATGACTTACTCATGTATTCAATGATTAGGTATTCTTGAAAGACCACATCTCTACTCCTGACCACCTTCTAGTTCTCAGGTCTATAGGCAAATTCTTTATTTAAGTACCCTAAGAAGATGCATGATATCTAGCTTAGATCTTTGTTCCTTCACCACATGCACAAATACCTTATACCCAAATTCCCTCAAGTGTGAATAAGAGATGTCATTTTGGTCAAACTCTTTATGTGATGCACTATCCATAGGAAATGATGAGGATCTGTTTATTAGGTAGCATGTCGTGAGGACTGATTTACCTTTATATGGCTTTGGTAACTTGACAGTCACTAAAATGTTCCTAAGTCTCTCCATAACAATGTGATTCATTATTTTTACTACACCATTACGGTGGGGGTATATGGCACTATCTTCTCGTGCCTTATGTCATACTTGATACAACAACTTTGTAATGTATTTGAGGTGTACTCTTACCCATTGTTTGATCACATACACTTCAACAGCTTGTATGTCTCTTTTTCCATGGAAGTTCTAAAAGATCCCCAACACTTTATTTGTCACTTTTATTAAATATACACACCTTTCTTGAAGCATCATCAATAAAGGTGAGGAAGCATAAAGCACCACCAAGAGATTGTGCATCTATGGGGCTACATATATCTGAATACATCAGAACTAAGATTTTATTAGTAAATGAGACTTTATATTGTTTGCCTATCAAACAATGATTACATAGGAATGGAGATGTGTCCCTAACACAAGAAGTTGCTTCTTTGTTGCATTTCTTTTTCACTCGTGTACCTAAGTTGTCTAAGCCATGGGTCCAATGAGAGCTTCTTCCATGGAAAAATTAACTTCACTATTGGAGACTTGCAACTTGTATTATATAGAATGAATAACAATTCTTGCCTTTGCCACAACGAGATATCCCCTCATTAGCTTCTAGTTGTTTACACGCAAATCTGAGGTGGAAATTGACATCTCCCTAAGTTATCTAAAACATCGGTAAAGAGTGAGTTATGTCGAACTACAATTTTTAAGAAATTAGCCTTGGGATACCTCTTTAGCAAATACCTCGACCAGGGCCATCTTAGATCTGTGTAAATTCGAAAGAAAAACTTTAAAAATCATAGAGAAAATAGGAATAAAAGAAAAGAGAGGAGGTGATAGCATTAAAAACCCATGAAGCCGGGCATTTAGGCCCGACATCGAGAGTTGGGGCTGAATAAAAAAAGAAGTTGATGAGTCCTTCCTCTTTCCACCTTAGAGATTTGTTGAATCGAAGTATATCAAACTCCAAGGAAAAGTGTGTCAAGGACTTTGCATCTACAACTTTGATTTGACTAAAAAAAGCTTTTTGTTGCTTTAGGGTTTGTTATATTTTTAGAGATTGTCACGTAGGTCTTACTACGGTTTGGAGGTTGCAAGATTGAGACGTAGGGTTAGGTTTGCATTCTCAAAGAGGTCCAGAAATTACCAAAAATAACCTATTTATAAGCCAAAATATTCGAAAATAGGAAGCCGACGGTATGGATTACTGAACTGTCGGACTTTAGGCATTGCTACCACTTTTATTCCAAGACAACGGGATTTCCTTTAAGGGTTTCATGTTTGGTAGTTTTGATTTTAGATATGGCTTGTAAGTATTTTAGTCTTGTGATTTAAAATACTTTCTCTTTTCACACACAGAACCTGTTTATTTTTTGTGATATTCTTCTAAATGGGATATTTGAGAATACATTAGTACTTTTTTTTGACAAATATTACTATTTTTTATTCAAACTACAGGAAAGAGATTACATCATTAGCAACAACAAGATCATATAAAAAAACACCACCCTTGGCCAGTTCGTCCGCCACAGTATTAGCATCTTGGTACACATGAGAAAAGGTAATTAGCAGAGAGGAAGATATATCCATAATCCGCAACTGTAAAGACCAAAGCTCCCAAGGAATGCGTAGTTCCTTCTTGCACCATTTAATCACATTCAACGAATCACCCTCTATCACATAATTGCTGCCACAATTTTTATCAATAAGGATCTTTAAGCCATAGAACAACGCACTAAGCTCAGCAAAATTTGCAGTTCCACAACCTAAAGGATCTGCATAAGAAAGAAAGATGCTACCAGAGCTGTCTCGCATGACCCACAATAACCATCTAACCCAAGATTGCCCAAAGAAGTGCCATCAAAATTAAGTTTTAGAATACCAGCAAGGGGCGCTGACCAACAGCATTTCGGTCTATTACTAACAATACGACTAAAAAAAGGTTATGTAAATTTGCCATCACATCAACCTTCGAAATACCCCAACCCGCCTTATTCATAGATAGCTAATACTAAATTGTGACTTTAATAGAGTGAATCAATATGTTCATGGGAAGTGAAACCCCTTCAAATGTCTTTCTATTTCTCTCTTTTCAGACTTCCCACAAAATGGCTCCTTTCGCTATCTTTCAAATGACATTACCAACCTTTGGCAAGTGAGGTAAAGACAATTGAGTAACAATCCCCTCCACATATTGAAGAAGAACCAAATTTATATTAAGCACACCAATCAACCAATACCAAATACGTACCGTGAAAGGACACTGAATAAGAAGGTGTGCAACCGACTCACCATCAGCTTTACAGAATAAGCACACATTGGGTAGAATCTTGCCCTTTTTGATTAAATTGTCAGTTGTCAAAATCTTGTTCAATGTAACCAACCAAATAAATACCTGAACCTCGTGAGGTACCGCCCATTTCCAAATCTGAGCAATCTGGGTGCAAGACCACTGCCACCTATCATAAAATAGGAGATTGTAGCAAGACTTGATGGAGAAAACACCAGCACATTCGATCTCCCATACCATTTCATCCTCTGCATTCGGTGAAATATAAACCTTATCCAAAAGTTACATCAGAGTACACCACTGGGAGAGTAACTCATTATTCAATCGATTATAACCTAGAAAAATATCCCAAGACATATTAACACCCCTCGGCTCAACTACCTCGCTAACTTTCATATTTGGTCTCCAAACTATCCCAAAAGGCTCAAGAAATAATGACTTAAGATTAAACTCGTCCACCCACTTATGATGCCAAAAAAAGACTCTATCTCCACAGCCTACATTCCATCTAAAGTAACCTAAAATCATAAACCTACAATTAGCAATAGACCTCCACATCTTAGAGGTATTTCTACCTCTACCTCCACCTAGCCAAAGCTCAGATCTATCCAAACCATACTTAGAGAGAAGGACTTGATACCATAGATGATCATTAAAATGAATACTCCGCCACCACCACTTGCATAATAGAGCTTGATTGACAAATCTAACATGTCTAATCCACAAGCCACCCTCTTTCTTTGGGGTACAAACTCTCTCCCATCTAAGGAGATGAAATTTTCTCGAGTCCCCATACGAGCCCCAAAGAAAATCCCTCATCATTTTTTCTATTTTTCTTACAACCGATGCCGGCATGTTAATCAGAGACATTTGATAAATCGGAAGATTGGACAAACATGACCTAAGCAAAGTCACCCTCCCCCCCCCCCAACGACAGATGCTTATTCTTCCACAAGTCCAATTTGAATTGGATTCTCTCTAATACCTTGTCGCAAACAGCAATGGTCAGCCTTGAATCAGAAATAAGTAACCCCAAATAAGTGAGAGGAAAAGACCCCACTTTACATTCCATAACACTAGCCAAGGAAGCAGTCAGTGCCTCAAAACAGTTAATACTAACCATGGAAGATTTGTTAAAATTCACTTTAAACCCAATAATAACCTCACAAACCTCTAGGAACCTGACAATATTTCTCACATGAAGAGGATTAGCATCACAAAAAATCAGGGTGTTATCAACATATTGTAGGTGGGAGACTATAATACCAGAGTTAGCAATGTTAAACCCTGAAAAATGGTCCGACCTTTTCATTCTGCTCAACATTGAGCTAAAACACTCAACATAAATAGTAAATAGAAAGGGAGAGAGAGGGCCCCATTGATGAAGACCTCTAGAGGCTTTGAAGAAACGAACATGGCTGCCTTTAAAAATTACCGAAAAGTGAGCAGAGGATAAACAACCAAAAATCTAGCTTCTCCATCAATCACCAAAACCCATGGCCTTCATGTTTTCCAACAAAATACGATCATAAGCTTTTTCCATGTCTAATTTGATAACAACACTTGGAATATTACTCAAAACCCTAGAATGAATACATTCTTGAGCTAAAAGAACACTGTCAGTAATATGGAGATCCTTGACAAATGCTGACTGAGTACTAGAGATAAGAAATGGCAAAATAGTTTTCAACCTCTCAGCCAAGACCTTCACAACAATTTTATAGAGGCTAGTAAGTAGATTGATTAATCTTATATCAGACAAATCCGATATCAAAGATCTCTTGGGGATAAGGGCCAGAAAAGTAGAGTTCACCCCTTTGAACATATCTCCTCTAATCATGAAGCTTCAAACAAATCCAACAATTCACCTTTCACCAAATCCCAAAATCTATGAAAAAAAACTAATGGGAAACCGTCAGGACCTATTGCTTTATCTCCAGGCAAAGTGAATACTGCCTGACGCAATTCCTCCATAGAAACCTCCCTCTCCAATACACTTTTCATCTCAGCAGACAACACTTTAAAGAAAACTCTACTAAAAGAAGACAAGAGTTTCACTTCAGAAGTGAAAGCCCTTTTAAAATGATTAATGATTGCCTCTTCAATCGCATTCTCATCTTCAGAGTCAACTCCAAAAATTGACAGACCAGAAAGATCATTTTACCTTCTTCTTGCACTGGAAATAACATGAAAGTATTTTGTATTAAGGTCATATTCCTTTAACCATTTAGTTCTAGATCGATGTCTCCAATAAACTTCCTCCAATCTGCGAAATTCCTCAAGGTCCTTAATTTTCAAACAACGTTCCAACACATCTTGCTCCGAGAGCACACCATTCGATTGGATCTTTAAATCTAACATTTCTATATCAGCAAGGGCGCCATCAATTTTAGCTTTGATATCAAAATTATTCTTTTTCTTCCAAGCAATCAACTTATGTTTGACACTCAAAAGCTTTCTGTGTAATTGAAAGTCCAATGTGCCCTCCACAATAGTGTTAACCCAAGTACCTTTTATCAACTCAATCACATACAGCTACCCAACATCTAGACGAAAAGGTCTTGGGCCTCCCTTTAACAATCTCGTATTGAGCATGATGGGACAGTGATCCGAAGAAGTTCTGGGTAAAGTTTTCACAAATGCAAGAGGGAACTCCTCCATCCAATCTGTCGATGTCAAAAATCTGTCAAGTTTTGACATAGCTAAATTCAAAATACTATTATTGGACCAGGTGAATTTCGATCCAATAATAGGGAGGTCCAGCAAAGAATTGATCTCAATAAAACGATTAAACATATGTGTAGAAGTATTAATAGGAGTACATGCCAAACACTCATCTAGCCACCGAATAAAGTTAAAGTCCCCCCCCCATCAACCATGGGAAAAAAAAAAGATTAAAGAACAGTAGAGAGCTCACTAAGAAAAACTTCTTCAAGAGCAGGCACAGAGGGCCCATACGCATTCAACAAACCCCAAGAAAAACGAACTTTAGGTCCATGAAAGCCCACTAATAAGAAGAAATCCTTGATAACAACATCACCAAAACCAAAGGATCCCAGAGAACCCATAAGCCACCCGATGTACCACAAGCATCTACCCCACAAAAAGCAACATCCCCCGGTACCCCAAACCTCTCGGGCCCCAGAAATATTAGGACTCGAGAGCTTCGTTTCTTGTAGAAGCAAAACAGCAGATCTAATTTTAGTAACAAGTATTCGTACATCCCTCTTTCTACTAGGATGGTCAAGACCCCTAATATTCCATGATAAGATATTCATTAAAAACCATAAAGAGAGTTAGAGGAAGAACCTGGTCCTGTGGGACCACGGCCCAAATATGCCTCCTCAAGAGCCATCGCCTCCTTGAGATCAACATCTTCATCCGAGGAAGATATATGCCTCAAGCGACGCAGCAAATACAACAGCATCAGATGCATCACCTCTAGAATTTGCACGGGTAGAAAGTCTTGCAGAAGACCGAACTCCTCTCACATCACCCTTCTTCCTTTTATCAACAACAGAACCTTTAGTCGGGGTCTTGGCAGCAACATCAGCATTAACGTCTAGGTCCCAAAAATTCTTGGGAAGCTTCCCACTTAGCATATCCCTCTGTACTACTAAACGAATCTTACGTCGCTCTTTGATCTCCTCCAAAATCAAACGCAGAGGTATATTATCCATACCCATATCTTTCACTAACTGAGCAAAATCATAAGCATCCTCCAATACAGACCCATCCTCCCCCACCTACCCCCCACTGCCCGTGTGGTCCTATCCACCTTTGATTTTTCAAAAAGCTCATAGTGATAACCAGCCTGCACAGGACTACCATTATCATAACCCCTACTATCATCTACCACAGGAGCAATTGTCTCACTAGGAGTCACAACCGGACTGGAGAAAGCCACCAAGTCCAGTGACGGAGCCTCCATAACTGAATCAGAGGTATCAATAGCAAGGGGTATAGGTTCGAAGGCACCTTCATAGTCATCAATGGTTACCACAGCACTGGGATCAATCAAGCAAGGGTTGAAGCCCTGCCTAGGGTAAATCCGAGAATCATTCGATGCCACTTGACATGGTGGAAGTGGATATATACTTACCCTCTAGAGAATGGCCAACAAAATGCACAAGAAGCATCGAGAGAAACACTGAAAAGAGAGAAACTTTTGGGCTCTAAGCCGCAGCATAAGGAATAAAATCAACACAGTGGAAAGAACCTCCCCTTTGAATTTGGGGTCCTTCCAAAAGGAAGAAGAAGAGTTCAGACATTCAGAAAGCAATTTTCCAAATGGAGCCTCTACCACGGCGAATGTTTTACTTGGATGTCAGTAGCTGGCAATTCTATATTGGAACTCAAACCCGTCGCCCCGCCAACTTATCTCACTTTTGAAGGTTACCAGCTGAGGGAGTACCTACCAAAGTACACAAAGGCGTGTGGACTTGTAGATACCGGTCTTGCTGAGGACTGGCGGGCACACCCAAAGAAACCAACGGCACACTTGGCGCAACCAACTTCAACCCATCAGCAAAACCTCCCGAAGAATTCGGGAATATGTCGATAGCAATCCACCGTTTAATAATCTTAGGTGTTTCTAGTTTTTTGAATTTCGAATTCCTAAAATTGCACCTCTCTTCCCCATATCCATCCGAAAATTCGAGCCTTGCAAAACTGCATCATTCGTCAACTCCTTCACAAAGAGATGTAAGGGCCTGCAGCCAAAATCACCCGTAATAGAGATTTCAAAGAAGCTCTCACTTAAGCAAAAGAGAACGGTACTTGGGAGAAAGAAACTAGAGCACCTACCAACCTTAACTCTCGCAGAATTGCATATCGAACTTAAAAAAGAGACCCAATCTAAATCCAAATAAACTCCAACCTGACCAACCACTTTTTTAATAATGGCCAAGTTCCAACTAGAAAGCGGGAGGCCCCACAACCTCAACCAGATCGAATATACAGGAATAAAAGAAGAATAATCATAAAGCTTCCACATGTCTAATGAGAGAGGACTATCACGAACACAACAAAATCTGTTGGACAAAGGTCTCCTCACCTCCTCCTTGGATTGAAGCTTAAAAACTATTTTGTTTGTGCCAATCGTTTCAACATCAGGGCTGTAAGATAAACTCGACCCTCTTTGGGCCTAGTCAGAAAGCCCGAAATGATCAGAAATGGGGGGGGAAAAAGAACCACACACAAAAAACTCTGAATTAATTTCTAATTGGTTCCAACTATCCCGATAGACAACCACCATAGGCGAGGAAAAACCATTGGACCGACATACACCTTGAGAAAAGCCGGAATCCTTCTCTACCAACGTTCTGCTCCAATCCATTGCGCTAGCCTCTCTCAACTCTCCTCCATCTCTCCTCACTAATCCCTAAAAAACCCGTTGATCATCTCTCAACTCAATAAAACCAGCCAGCTCAATTCCCTATCTAAATACAGGGCTTCCACTCTTACTACCACAACCTTGGTAAACGATAAACTAACTCGTATGTTGTATATGGGCCCTACCAATTAATACATTAGGAATATTCTAAGGCTTATGGTCTGAATGTGCACAATCGTTCAATGTGTCATATGGGTGACTAGGTGAGTTTGCCTTATGTGACCCCAACAATATATAAGTTATATGTGACCCCACTTCTACCTGTTCAATCTGAATCATTGGTTACGATTGTTCATACCACAATGTCATGCCAAACACTATTTTATTTTTCATTTTTTCCTACAAAATATGTTTGGATGAAATTTTGGACATCGCATCATAAATATGGGAGAACTTGGGAAAAAAATATTTTATGTAAAACTAAATGATAAAAATGCCCCTACAATTTTCAGTGGTATTTTAATAATTTTTCATCACCGAAAGTATTTTTTATTATTTTTATCATGTGCGCCCCTGTCAGATCTATGCATGCTCCAAATTTTGTTCCAAAATTTTTTTTATAACAAAAAATAAAAGATAAAAAACTATGGCCAATCTAATCAAGATCTGATGGTCAAGAGCTAGCTTGTGACATTTTGACTCAAGCCATGTCAACCACCCACTCAGATCTGACGGCTGAGACCATGAGTCACATATACTATGTATGTGGGTGGGGTCACATGGAAAGCCTTCACCAAATGACCCCAACATGTTCTTAAAATAAAGTATCATCCTAATATTTGTGTTTTGGGAAATTCCAAAATTTATAGTTTCTTTTTAAAAAAAAAAATATTTCTCTAGTCCTTATAAGGTCAATCCTAAAATTTTAAATCCCAGAATCTAGATAAGTCTTTTAGCTGAAGGAGCAAGTGTAGGGTGTGGTCCCGCACCAAACAACCTATGGACCCTCACGCCAAGGATGTGTATCTCACACAAACAGTGGGAGGAAATAGCATCATAGCATGCAACGATGAGCACTTATTGGGGCGATGATTTAAACAAGTTTGTCACCAATACACTTATCGAATTTATCGAATTAAGCAACTTGTACAATGATAAAACTTAACCCACAAGCACAACCTCACCAAACCAACCCCTAAGGATCATGTTTCTAGAGAGAAAAAGAACCAAACCAACCCCTAAGGATCATATTTCTAGAGAGAGAAAGAGAGGGACCAATGGTTCTAGAGAGAAAAAGAAAGGGCCTTGGCCGTGCACTCAAAGAAAACCCCCACTTTACCTTTAGCCATCATTGCCCGAGGGAACACCAAGTGTTGATATGTGAGGGTCGGTGAGCACATTAATAAAACCCGCCCAAATCTTTTCAAATTTCAAACCCCTCCTTCCTTTACTATACACTTTTAAAACACCCACCATATATACTTAGCTTTCAGTGGAGAAGTGGAGCACCAAATCCCAAAGTTTATTAAAGAGAGAAAGTTGAGGGAGGGAGAGAGAGAATGATGAGCACTGCTAGGTTCATCAAATGTGTCACAGTGGGTGATGGTGCAGTGGGCAAGACATGTATGCTCATATCCTACACAAGCAACACTTTCCCAACTGTAAGATACCTTCTCTCCCTTTTTCTCATTTTTTGGCATTATTTTTCTTTGGAACTTATGATCTTATGATTTGTTGAATTTTTTTTTCTTAATTCTTAGTTTATTTTTCTGGATGTAAAATGTTTTCGGGCAAACATGGGTGTCTGAGCATCTTGCAGTGCCCTTTTTGTCGAAGGGCATGCAACCGCGGCAGCCCCAAGACTAAGTCCTTTACTCATTTCAATTTTTTGTTTTTATCATTAAACTGCATAGGACTATGTTCCGACGGTGTTCGACAACTTTAGCGCCAATGTGGTTGTGGATGGGAGCACTGTGAATCTAGGCTTATGGGACACTGCAGGTAATATACCCCTTCTTTTTCATTTTTTTCGGCTTTGTAGAAACAAATTATAAGGGCTAAAGACCTCTTTGTATTAAAAATAAATGGAAGTGCTATTTTAGTCTCCCGAACAAGACTTTTGGAATTCATGAATTGCTTAAAGCAAAGTAAGTAGATTTCGAGACTTTTCCTTGGCTTTTCTCTCTCTTGTTTCCCTTTTGGGGTGGCGGGAATCGAAATATTATTACCGATTTTGGGTCATTTTCAGGGCAAGAAGATTACAATAGGTTAAGGCCCCTAAGCTATAGAGGAGCTGATGTTTTTCTGCTGGCTTTCTCTCTCATAAGCAAGCCTAGCTATGAGAACATCTCTAAGAAGGTGAGGTGATCTCTTGCTATTTATCATCTATGAAATTCGTAAATTTTTGTGGCAAATTATGGATTTACGTTTGGAAGTGAGAGGACTTATTTAACATTTGGCCCCTTAAAATGGATTTGATTTCGGATAAGTTTTGAAAAATATTTGACTTTGATTCTCAACATGAAATAAAACACAAATTGGGCAAAGTTTCACCTGAGATCTCCACTTCAGTTTCATCTATCTGACAGCCTCCTTTCGAATTTTGGGATGATTCGCCTTTTTTTCACAGTTTGGTCGCGTCCGAACAAGGGTGCTAATTTCTTTGGCCCATTATGTAAATTTCCCAAACTTTTAAAAATGGTTTGAAGGCAACAGTGGGGTTTTAGGAAACCCAACGAAATTTCGGCTGAAATTTAGTGAAATTCTAACATGAATTTGGCTGTTACATTCACAGTGGATCCCGGAGTTGAGACATTATGCTCCCACTGTTCCTATAGTGCTTGTGGGAACCAAGCTTGGTAAGTTGGATGACAACCAATACTAGTCTTTCTTTATATCCTAGAAAAGAATAGACTGTTGAGAAGAATAGACTGTCACTGAATTTTCAATATGGGAATTCAATAAAATAAGTTTTTGAAATGTTTGCTTATCTAAAGATTAAAGTGGATCTGACAAAGAAAGTTTCTCTTTCTTTCTTGGTTTTGGTTCTCTTTGAGACATTTTTTATTGGATTTGATGTATTAAGTGAATTTCACCAAATCTCAAATCAGCTTCTAAACAGATTTCAAAAATAATTCCCCAACTTCAAAGGAATGAGGTGGTGGGAGGGATGTAACTGGTCACCATTTTGCCGTATTGGACCAATTTATATGTAGATAAGAAAATAAGCCCCAATTTCCAAAATAAAGAACCAAAAAATTCATTTTTCCCATTTTGAAATGTACATTTTCGGTGACGCCTTCCACACTGATCTGCCAAAAAAAAAAATCACTGCTATGTACTCTTTCTTTTGTAATTTATTTTGTCATAATGTGGACACAATATCAATTAGTCCCTTTATTTGCGAAAGTATGCGATGAATCTGCATCCATAACTGCATGTGACCATCCAACAATGGATGGATGGTGATTTGCAGAATGCACACGTACCAATTGGGAGATGCCACGTTGTTATGGGCACAACTCTGCCCCCATCACCTTCCACCCATTGATTGGGCCGTGATGAATGATGACCATGGGTTTTGTCATGAGGATCATAATGCACCTTCACTTTCACTTTTGGAAAAATCTATGTGCAGTTCCACCTCTTCCATGTAGCCTCAGGGTATTTTCCTTGGTGTTTTTTCTTCTTATTTTTTTCTTTTTCTTATGTTTTAGATTTACGCGAAGATAAGCAATTCTTCATTGACCATCCCGGAGCCACTCCCATAACAACAGCTCAGGCATCTCCTCTATTCACTTAAGTTCTTTGTTTCCTCTTTTCTCTTTGTTTCCTTTTATTGTGTCTTAGTTCTAAGGGTGAATTTTCTGTATGTGGTAGCAGGGAGAGGAATTGAAGAAACAAATAGGTGCAGCAATGTATATCGAGTGCAGTTCTAAAACACAACAGGTGCATCCATAGACTCAATGTGATTGACATTTGCTTAAAAAGAAACACCTTTTTCAATGGCATTTTCACTTTTATTCTAAGATGGAGAGGATGTTGTGTCTATGCTGATGATCTATTCTGAATAACAATTTATCTATGCAGAATGTAAAAGCGGTTTTTGATGCAGCCATTAAAGTGGTAATGAGACCCCCCAAGCAAAAGAAAAAGCGACGAAAGCAGAGGCCTTGTGTGGTTCTTTGAGTGGTTTCAGCATGTTTCCTCTCATTAGTCAATTCGACCTTCTTGTTTAATTCTCTTCTTTCTTCTCTCTTTTTCTTTTTCTTTTTCTTTTTTGAATCTCTTTTCTCTGTTTTATATGCCTTTTCTTGTTGTTATCACAACTTTATTATCAAAATGAATACAAGTTTGCAATGTCAGATTAGGATCATGTAATTTCCCATTGAAATGAGATTTCCGATACTTCAAAAAGAAGATTTTGATGATTATTTGTAACATTTCATAATAGCCATGGTTGATTTGGGGGACAAGTTGATGATGAGTGGAGATATGGTTATTGTAAGATTGATTTATGGGTGTCGTTTGTATAAAGTGTCAATTTATACTGTAGAAGTTAGGTACACCTTAAAAATCTATCTTAAAAGGCTGGTTCCAGTGTCGGAAACCTTTATGGCACAAAAAAAATTTATTTTCAACTTAACTATGCAATTTAAAATTCCAAAAATGGTGTAGATCAAACAAATCTATAAGTGATTAAAATTTTTGAAATTAGATGGTTTATATAATGTGCTACTAATTTTAGGATTTGAAATGTATTTTACCTTCCATATCCATACAACTCGAAGTTACGATGATATGGTTTTTCAACAATAGAACAACCTTTTCAAGTGGATTTTTGAGTCACACATTCCTTCTCCAATAGAAGGTTGACACCTTATATATTCTTCCTTGATTTCTTGATATGCTTTTTATAAGAATAAAGGAGTTGAAATGAAATAGATGCAAATATTCATAGGAAATGTATACAAAAAGATTGTTTATCTTTTGTATAAGGAGGTCACAATCATTTTTGTCTCTTAGATTTGAAATCAGAAATGAGTAAGCGATAAGATGAGAGAAAGTAGGCTTAGATGGGATGATCATATATAGCATAAATCCAACACAACACTTATTAGGAGGTGCGGGTTAGTTCAAGTGGAAGGCAAAAAAAGGGTGAGGGGTATGCTCAAAAGGATATGGCTGAAATTAGTGAGAAAATACATGGGGATATGGGAACCTATGACCTCACTATGGATATGGCCCTTGGTAGAGCATAACGGCGAGCCAAGATTCGTGTAGTGGATCCCAAATAGTTGGGAAAAAGTTTTAATGATAATGATAAGATTTGAAATCAAAAGGCTTAGAATGACCAATAGAATAAATATTACAAATATTCAGATGCACCAAATGCCATCCAAAGTAGGCAGTGGAGCACATTTGTGCACATGATAGAATCCTTATCATCATCATCATTATCATTTTAGTTTTATCTCAATTTATTGGGTCGGCCACATGAATACTAGTTCTCTATTATGCTATATTAAAGGTCATATCTTCAGTGATGTCATAAGTCCCAATATCTTTTCGGACTACTTCCAACCAACATGTCTTTTTGGGCCTAACCCTTGCCCTTTTTCAATCTTTCCATTTGAATTAATTCATACTTCCTAACAGGCGTTGTACTTGATGGGTGCCACACATGCCCAACCCATCTAAGTCTACCCTCTTTCGTTTTATCGCCTATTGATGCCACGACTAATTCTCTCGAATAGATTTATTTTGAATTCTATTCCTTTTTGTCTTACCACTCATCCATATCAGTATTCTTATCTCCGTTATACTCATTCTATAAGTATATTGTTTTTTGTCCACCCAATATTCTACCCCATAGAATAAAGCTAGTCTCATCGTTATCCTATAGAACTTTCCCTTCAGTCTCATTAGCTTGCGGCAATTATATAAAATTCTTGTTGCACATCTGTACTTTGTCCACCCAGCTCTAATTTTGTGTGCAACATCCTTCTAGATTTCTCCATTTTTCTAGAGTATCGACCTAAGATATCGATAGTGTGGTTTTTTTTGTACTTTTGGGCTGTTAATCTTAACTACTTCATAGGCACCTTTGTATTTTTGGGCTGTCATCTCTACTCTGATTATTACTAAACTTGTATTTCATATACTTTGTCTTGGTCAACTAATTTTAAAATATTTAGATGTTAGAGCATCCCTCCAAAGTTCTAACTTTGTGTTGACACCGTTTTGGATCTCATCCATCAAAACTATGTCATCTACGAACAACATGAACCACGATACCTCATCCTGTAGGTGCCTAATTATGTCATCTATAACTAAGACAAAGAGGTACAGACTCAATGTTGATCTTTGATGTAGACCTATTGCTAATGAAAACTCACTCTCTACTAGTTGTTCGTACACTAGTTAGCGCTCCAGTGTGCCAACAACTAATGGAGGGCATGGGATGGGTTAAGATAAAGTTTAATGTCATCACCCTTCTTAAACTTATATGGTAGAACCCTTATAATGCACCTAAACTAACTTGAGAGAAATACACCCAAGTGTTAGAGTAAAAAATCCACTTTCCTGAATCCATATCCATCGAAACGTGGATGTCTTGTGCAAATTTTTTTTCGAAGGTCATTAAAGATGGGAATTTCAATTTGATCTAGATGCTTTATATATTCCTTAACAATTATTATTAATATGAAGGTTAAATAATTGATGTTTTCCAAAATATTTCTCGTTCCCATGGGGGAATACTATCTATTTACTTCCTCGGTTAAAATATATGCTAGTGATACTTTTAGATCTTAAATTTTTGGGATGTAATCTCTACAACCCATAGAATAATATTAGCCAAAAAGGTTTCAGAAATAAACTCTCTATGTACTAGAAAGAAACTAGCACCTTAAGGTTGAATAGAGACCATCTAATTTTGAAGGGCTAGATCTAAGTGTCACAAACCTCAAAAATTCAAATTATTCTTTTAAAAATAATCATCTAGTAATTTTTATATGGTTTCCAAATTTTTAGACTAAAAAATTTAACCTAGTTGTGCGTTTAGATTGAGGGAGTGGAGACACAATTTGCTCCCACCCGAGCATAGTATACGCAATATTTTTTATGGCTAACCGTGAGGATTTCAAAGAGTCATGCTCTCCATGTTGAGTTTATGTGGCCATTAAATGCCTTATAAGAGCTTGTATAAACATTTTATATTATAAAACATAAATTCAGTAGGAGTGTGGTCTTATTGTGGATCATACTAAGTAAATGTTATATGTGATACTCGGACTTAACTCGACGTGCTAGGCCAGTTGAGTTGGAAAACCCAAGGTACCTGAGCATAGAGCTAAACGGATTGGGATTCTGTGAGGCATTCCTTGATGAGGTTGGAGTTGCCTGAATGAGCGAGACGATAGACTGTGTGGCCCCTGTGTATGATGGTTGGGCTTTAGAGACTGGGTCAAAGCCTCATCCATGAACCATCACACAACATATACATTAATAGCCGTATCGAGAAAACAATCCACTTTTAAGGGTGAAGTGTATATATGTGCGAGAGATTACCCCTATGCATCATGGAGCTATGGTTGCATCATAGTCTGGGGGACCATGAATTAGTTTATAGGGGAGAACTTGTAGCCCATGGGCTGAGAGTACGTCCCCTAGCCTATTGACTGAATTTGGTGGCTCAATCATGAATCCTTGCAATGGACTGTGGGTCATGGGAACCGCTGGGCCAGTTTGAGCAGGTGGAGTGCTCGAGTATATTCATAATTTCTAGACCTATATGGATCCAATTCCCATCAAAATTAATTAATTTTATATTATATGATTTTTAGAATGATTAGTTGAATTTTTTTATTATCTTGATATTTTATTTTTTTCCATTCAAATTTATAATATAAGAGAGAATCAATTATCAATGTTTTAAATAATCAAAGAGACATAAAAGCTTATTTCTAAAAATCATTTAAATATTTTACTCACTAAATATGTGGAGCTATGGGCCCACCTTAAATAATAAATCACATGTTGAAATTGGGTGGGGCCCATGAGGGGCCACATAGGGTGGCACTCCCAACCCATAGGAGATTGACCTTATTATTTTGTGGATTGAGGCCTCTTTGCAAGTTGGGTTTTTAAATTTATGTTAAGCCTTTTGTTTTAGTATTTAAGATAATAAATTACGGTATGTCCTGCGAATCAAGATATTTAATTATTCAAAGATTATGTGAGATTATCCATAAAAAGAAAAAGTATGATTATATTTTTTTATTTGAATATTTGATAGTAATAAGTTTTAGAAGTTGAAGATAAAGTTCTAACACTTTCTTTGAAATCTTGATAGTGGATCTAAATAATGAATGACTCACATCTCTTACTCAATAAGTCTCTTTGGATCAATGGTCTAAATTTGATCTCACTAAGATAACAAACCCTAGACATTAGAAAATCTATAAATAGGGGTCCTCATTCTAAATCTCTACACCTCTCCTCTTATCTCTTATCTCTCTAAGCTCTCTCTATTTTCTTTCTGGGAGTGGGAAGGGGACATGCCCACTAAGGTTTTCTCTCTCTAAATAGGGCACGCTCCAACCACTAAGGTTTTCTCTCTCTAAATAGGGCACGCTCCAACCAAGGGAGGTTCTCTCTTTTTAACCTTCTCTCTAACAAGGTAGAAGGGACATGTCCCACCTAGGAGATCTCTCTCTCTCTCATCTCTTTAGGCTAAGCCAATGGGTTTAAAGTAGGCTGAGACATGGAGGCCTTAGTAGTTAGTTTCATATGCTTTTGGAGGCTTTTGCCATACTTAGTAAATTCGAAGATCGACTATTGATCCTGAGCAATATTGGAAGAAGATGAGATTCAGTATGAGGTGTACTAAACCCGATTAAGGTAATCTCTGACAACTTTATTTGTATTATTTTATCTATTTTATTAAGTTCTTTTATTCCTATAAAGCAATGTGTCGAACTTTTATTTCTTGAATAAATGAATTGTATTTAAGTAGTAGTAAGTGAAAACTGCGTGTTTTTATTTGTAATTGGACATTGTAGGTGAAATAAAAGTTAAATCTAAAAATCTAAATTTATATGCACCGTATTTTATAACATAATCCAACTTTCACTCCATTCCATCAAAGTTGCGAGTATAGTCTAAGTTAATTAATTGTCTTGCATTTGTTATGTTAATCATCTCTCTTTCCTTGCATAAGGATGCAACCCTTACATTAACGGTACAATAAACATTTGGATTAATATAGTACCAGCAATTCCTCAACCATCAAAAGTCAATAAGAAATAGTAAACGTGTATAACTCATCTGATCGAAGTCTGGCGAAGTCGTTAATGGTTGAGGCTCTAAACAATAGAACCTCGGCTCTATTCAAACCGCACCCATATGTAAAGTGTGCATTCTTTCTTTAAATGAATTTTTTTTTTTTTATAAGTGTGAGGCTCTAAACAATCAAATTACGGCGCACTTCAAAAATTTCACTAGAACAAGTTGTTTTGATGCTAAAAAATCCTCAAATTGGTCATTTCTACTTCAAGATGTATAGACAAGATAAAAAAATGGATTTCAAATTTTAGAAATGGTGTATCTTATAATGCATTTTTGGTCCATCAATTTTTTATAGTTTCAAGTTTTTATAAATTTGATCAATTTACACTATTTTTTAATCTTTAAATTTTATAATTAGAGATAAAATAAATTTTAAGATTATAACAAAAATATCCAATATTGAAACCACATTTGTTGATACTATTTGAAGGTACGCTTTACTTCGATTGTTTAGAGCTTTGGCTCTATACAAACCACACCTCTCTTTAAATATCGATGTTATAAAGAGATTTTTATATAATTTTTTTCTATTTATGTTTAATAAATAAGATAATGATGGACACCCATTAAACTTTTTCATTTCCCGCTAGGACGTGTGTATATATGTAAGGTTTTTTTTCTGGAAAAGTTTGTCTGATGAATTTTCTTTTTTTTTAGTGCTTGTATTATACTTCCTTGGGAGCATACACTATACTACTCCATCATGAGGAAATTTTGCCAACAACCTGGTAAGTAATAGATAATTATTTTTCAAAAGAAAAATTTTGGGTTTTGAGTTCTTTAATATTTAGATCTCACCTTCCAAGAACCGGATAATATCTATTCAATTTTGAGGCATTATTTTTTCAAGCATATAGAAAGTGCAATTTTAGATTTATTTTTTAAGGGATTGTTTATAAAGAAACCTTTTATCTTTGGTATTATTTATAAATCTTTGGTATTATTTTTAAAGAGACTACTTATTTTTTGTACATGGAGGTCCCAATCATTTCTACTCATTAGATGTCAAATTAAATTGCTTGAGGTGTGAGTTGAAGAGGCTAAATATCAAAATTTTTCGTCTTAAAAGCATTATTAGATTGAGTTTTACGTGGGGAATAGATGCTTATTTTTCAAAAGAAAAAATTTAGATTTTGAGTTCTTTAACTTTTAGATCCCGCCTTCCAAGAACTGGAAATATCTATTCAATTTTGAGGCATTATTTTTTCAAGCATATAGAGAGTGCAATTTAGATTTATTTTTTATTTATTTTTTAAGGGATTGTTTATAAAGAAACGTTTATCTTTGGTATTGTTTACAAATAGATTACTTATTTTTTGTACATGGAGGTCCCAATCATTTCTACTTATTAGATGTCAAATTAAATTGCTTGAAGTGTGAGTTGAAGAGGTTAAATCTAAAAAATTGTAGTCCTAAAAGAATTCTTAGAATGAGTTTTACATTAGGAAATAACAAGGGAAAATAGAAAAAAAACCCCCCAAAATGGACTTTCTAATCAATTTATCCAAACCTAACTTTTCCTACCAATTTCCTCTAAAAAAATAACCATGTTTCTTAACAAAAACCCTAACTAAAAACCTTCACTTTTTTTTTAAATTTTTTTTTTTTTATGAAAATACCCTTCTCTTACATAATAAATCATTTTCCCTAGAGAGGGCGGTCCCGCTTTTGGATGAGGTGGTACGGTGATTATATTTGGCTGTTTCGCCTTTCATTGTGGCGGTATGGGGATTATACTACTGAAGAAATGGGTAATTCGGCATTTTGAAAAAGCAGTCTTGCATTTTGAAACAGCAATCCGACGTTTTAAATGGTGGTACGCCATTTTGAAGGGGCATTTCGGCTTGAAGTGGTTGTACGACATTTCGAAGGGGCAATCCGGCATTTTAAAGTGGCAATCAGGCGCATTTTGAAGGGCAGTTTGGCATTTTAAAGTGGCGGTCAGGCGCAAATGAGCAATCCGATGTTGTACAAGTTCACCCGGCATTTCCTTTTATTGGAATCGAAAAATGATTTGTTACGTACAAAAAGGATATTTTCATAAAAAAAAATAAAATTTTTGTATCGGGGTATTTGCTAGGAAACATGGTTTTTAGGGATGAAGTTGTTCGAAAAAGTTAAATGAGAGTAAATTGATTAGAAAGTCCATTTTGGAGGATTTTATGCAATTTTCCCAACTAACTATAGGGAAAGTATAGAATGATACCATTGTACCTTTGATACAAGGTGGTTACTATAATTTTGACCATTCGACGTCAAGTTGAGTGATTGTAATTATTACATGAAAAAGTTTATACGAGGATGTTATCTTATAATGTAGAACTATGGATGCCCCTCAAAAATCCACCAGAAAAGGTAGTTTTAATGTTGAAAAACCATTTGATTGATCATCTCGACATCGAGATGTATGACTAAGAAAAATAAAAAGATTTCATGTCTCAAAAAAGTACATTTTATAACATTTTATCTACACCGTCCATTTTCAAGATTTTCATATGTTTATAGGTCTACTTGATTTTAACCATTTTTAAAATTTAAAATTTTATAATTATATATAAAAATAGATTTTGAGATAATCCTAAGAACATTTTACATCAAAATTATATACCATGATAAATTTTGAAGGTGCACCTTACCTCTACACCTACATTCGTATGCAAACTGCACCCTTATTACATTGACCTAGCTCAAACTTTAAAAGAAATTTTCACGTAACGCATCCAAACTATCAAATTTCATATCAAATAGTTGTAAAGAAATGTGAGGGCCTTGTATCCACTTTTATTTATTTATCTAATATATATGGTTATTATCAAGTAGGTCATAAAGATCCTACATGACAGTGTTCGACGATACACAATTGAAACATCCACCATTCGTTATCATGTACTGTTTCACACATTTTGGGATCGAACGGTTACTAGATGCTGTTCGTACATGAGACTCGAGCATGGGTGGCTTGTGAGTTGTTGTGAAGGGAGGGCACGAACTCAGAGCCCGCGTTTGAGCTTCTGCCTCTCTCTATTTGGTGGCCTTTTGCCGCCTCTATTCCTCTCATCTCTCATTGATAGTAATGGCGGCTCAGCTGCTCCGCTCGGCCTGGCATGCCAGCCGCAGGGTCACCGCCCCGCGTTTCGCGTTGGGCTCCTTCGATCAGCGGCTTCCGTCTGTGTTCTGGGGCCGCAGGCTACTTTCTGCCGCGCCGCAGGTCGCGGCTTCGGGCGCATCGGTGGCGGTTGAGGCGGAGGCGGCGAGGCTGAGGAATGTGGCAGTGATTGCTCATGTGGACCATGGAAAGACCACGCTCATGGACCGTCTGCTCAGGCAGTGCGGTGCCGATATCCCTCACGAGCGAGCCCTTGATTCGATTACGCTCGAACGTGAGCGCGGCATCACCATTGCCTCCAAGGTAATCTACTACTACTACTAATTGCTCCTCTGTCTCTACTACCCTCTCCTCTGTCAATTGTTGACACTCTTTCCAGATTCCTCTATGTCCATTGTTGAGTGTAGGAATTGCGGTATCACCATAGCCTCTCTCTCTTGATTGCTAATAAGTGTGAGATTGAGGTCACCTTGATAACTAGGAAGTGTGTAGCATTGAAGTTCTCTCTTTTACATGAATTTCAAGTATGGGAATTGGTGCTCACAATGGCCTTCCAGGTCCTTAGCTTTGTTTCTCTCTCAACCTGGAGGTTAATACAAATAGCTTCTTCTTTCTACTTTGGTTTCTTCTGCAATTGAATTCTTTTGATCCTTTATTTCTTTCTACTTTGGTTTCTTCTCCAGTTACATCCCTTTGAGTATTTATTTTTTCCTCTTTTTTAATAAAATTGTTTCTTTACTTGGGGGTTAAATGTTATTTTATTGTTCTTCCGTGTAGTTTACCTAGTTTAAACTTCCTTTCTGTTTCTGTTGATTTGCAGGTGACTTCTATATCTTGGAAGGAAAATGAACTTAACATGGTTGACACTCCTGGACATGCTGATTTTGGCGGTGAAGTATGTCCCTTGACAAACAACTGGGCATTGTCGATCGCGTTGTATTTTTGTACTTCATTCCATTATTCATTAGTAGTCCAACTTCTGAATAAACTGTGTTTGATATCCATTACATCAACTCTAGGTTGAGCGAGTTGTTGGTATGGTGGAAGGAGCAATTTTGGTTGTAGATGCTGGTGAAGGCCCACTTGCACAGACAAAGTTTGTTCTTGCAAAAGCTTTAAAATATGGGTTGCGCCCAATACTACTCCTCAACAAAGTAGATCGACCATCCGGTAGAAAAATTCATGCCATTTGTTATCATGCAACTGTTAATCACCAGTAGTCTTTGCTCAAATGAATGATGTGATAACTGCATAAGTTCGTCTTTTAATTTCAAGAGCAGCCTTTTTTTTTTTCCCTTCTTTCTCTTGATTTGTTAATCATGCAACTGTTAATCACTAGTGGTTGTTTCTTCATATGAATGGTGTGATAACTGCATAAGTTCTTCTTTTAATTTCAAGAGTAGCCTTCTTTTTTTTTCCCTTCTTTCTCTTTTATTTGTTAAACAATTACCTATCTTTTTTACCAACAAAGGGTCCAGTTTTTGTGGACTCAATTGAAGTTGGGTCAGACGAGAATATAGTCTTTCTATTTTAGTGCTTGATTGGACTTTTAAGTCATGCTCAGTTGATACCAACAAGATCCGCTTTTTGAAGTTCTGGTTGGAAAAGTGTGGGCACTTTATGTGTTCCTTCATTTAGAGAATGCATTTATTGGATCTCAGATCTTCACTCACACACTTCATTTTTTTATCTTTGCTGATGGTATGATATTGGTTTTCTTCTTTCGTTTGTACAGTTTCAGAAGAGAGGTGTGATGAGGTGGAGAGCTTGGTGTTTGATCTCTTTGCAAATCTTGGCGCCTCAGGTGCATCCTCTAATGTTATTATGTTGCTTCACTGTTAAGATAAATAAGCCTTAGTGATGATTTTTTGTTTTCTTCCATCATGCAGAGGAACAACTAGATTTTCCCGTTTTTTATGCATCTGCGAAAGAAGGTTGGGCTTCTTCCACCTTCACTAAAGCTCCTGCTGATGATGTGAAGAACATGTCACCTTTGCTTGATGCCATTATAAAATATGTACCTCCACCCAAGACAAATGTTGATGCTCCTTTCCAGATGCTGGTATGTAAAACACATTTGTCTCATTTCTATTTGGTGCACAAATCTTTAAAGTGTTGCAGTAATTTAAGTTAGTGAAGAAACTGTTTCTTGCGGATTTTTTGTTGTTGAACATCAGCTTTGTACCAAGCACATTACCAGTGGGAAACTAGACCTCAGATATAAATACTTTGCCACAAATGACAGCATAGCAAGAACATGGCAAATACTAAAAGTAAAAAAAATGTTGAGTTTACATGTTGCTACTACTAGAATGTTCCAAAATTAAGTAATGGCGGTGCTTGATTAATGGTTCAATCTGCTTTATTTGAACTTTTTTGAATTTTTCTCCATAAATGATATACAATTGAACAATCACCTTCACCGGCAGTGAGCATTGGTCTTTAGTTACTTGAAAGTATTGGATAAATATGTTTCAGATTGGTCCTTGCAGGTGTCTATGATGGAACGTGATTTCTATCTTGGAAGGATATTAACTGGTCGCATTTATTCGGGAGTCATTCATGTTGGTGACAGGGTGCATGGCCTTCGTCAAACAGAAACAAGTGTAGAGAAAATTGAAGAAGGAAAGGTTTGTCAATAGTGAAAGATAAATAGGAATTTCCATTTTGAAGAAAACTTAATAGGATATATAAAGATTGTCACTTTCCTGTCTTAGATGTTGAGTGATGATTAGATTTCTTCAAAAGGTTATTTTTTACTGAGGAACATTTTTTTAATATGTTGTCCCTTGATTATTAATGAAATAGAAAGTGTTTATTTAGGTGGTAAAACTTATGAAAAAGAAGGGCACAAGCACGGTTCTCATCAATAGTGCAGTTGCTGGTGATATTGTTTCTGTGGCTGGATTGACAAGGCCTTCAATTGGCTACACATTGTCAAGTGTGGAGGTATATTACTGTCATTTTTATTGTCACTGCATTTCTCAAATGATGGACATTGATCAACTTGTTTGTTGTTCTTTAAATAATGGTTCTCTGTAATCGTGATGAAACACAACGTAACTTTCAGGTTATGTCTGCATTGCCTACTGTTGAGCTGGATCCTCCTACAATTTCCATGACATTTGGTGTCAATGTTTCTCCACTAGCTGGGCGTGATGGAACTCATGTAAGAGATATCTTTCTTGCCATCTTCTGGTTGATATCATGTTTGCTTAGAAGAAAATATGTGAGGTTTGTCAAGTTTCAGATTTCACCAAGTTCTTTTCCTAATTTTGCAGCTTACGGGAGGAAAAATTGGTGACCGGCTAGTGGCAGAAGCTGAAACCAATCTTGCCATAAACGTGATCCCGGGCTTGTTAGATACTTATGAAGTTCAGGGGAGGGGCGAGCTTCAACTGGGTCGGTGCTTGAAAAGTTACTTGTCACCTCATTTCACTTAAATTGTCTTCTATAAAAAAGCTATGTTCTAATTAAGAGAAACTATTAGATGTAATACCAATTACCATGTACATTGTACATCATAGTCTATAAGTAGCCAATTGAGTCTTTCTTTGTAGCAGTTCTCTATATATTGAATGTTAACTAACAAAGTGATGATAACATTCACAATATATAGAAACCTGTCTTAACTGTTGCAACGATTCAAAACTCTGACTTGGCTTAGGACTTGGCCTGGTCCTGAGCTGCCAAGACCATTGCAAAACAGCATATGAATGGCCTGACTCATTCTCATTTACTTTTTGCATGTAACATTTGTTGCAGGTATAGTTTAGACTTCGGAGGATACTTATCTTAATTTTCTCTATTACAGGTATTTTAATTGAGAACATGAGGCGTGAAGGATTTGAGCTTTCTGTATCACCACCAAGGGTCATGTGAGGCTTTCCCACATTCTAGCCAAAACTTTTCATTTCTCAAAAATCTCAAATTATCTCTATTTTGTTATTTTCCTTATTTTTCTATGTGATTAATTGTCTTTTTATCTTTGTTTTCGGTAATTGAAAGAACTTGCTTTTCTTTGGCATTATGAGACCAATGATGAATCCTTTTATTTATTTATTTCCCTTAAAACAATTTCATAGAAAGAGAAAGTGCACAAGAAGTTGCATCCACAGGTGCTAAGGGATAGATTGACAAAGTGAGGAAGAAGAAGTAACCAGCTAACTTGCTCTACTTGGAAGCAGTGTAGGATATTTTAATGACGGGAGTGATTGACTGAGAAATTTTGCTTTAGTTCAGCGATTAAGAACCAGGACCGGGGTCAGGGCTCGGTAGGGTCCCAATTCCAAGTCACCTGGTCTGACTCGGGCGAGGCCTGAGTCAGGCTGGTGATATTTTAACCCCACAAGAAAAGAAAAATTTATATAAAGGTGAGACTACGGGAGATTCGAGGGTCTTTCCCCTGGAATTGCTAGGGTTCGATCTGGGTTGACTCTGGTGAGGCCCAAGTTGGCCCCACAATTTTCAATCACAACTTCAATTAGAAGTATCAATAAGTAGCATCACGGTTTTGATGGTTTGTTTATCTAACACAGCTAAGTGTTGGAAAATTTTGAATATTCTAGAATGCAAGCCCAGGCTTCCTTGTCTATTGGAGAGGTCTAGATAAACAAAACATGCCAACTGATATGCGACTCATTTTCCTATCAAATGTGCGCACTTCACCTGGAAATTGGTAATTATATGGAAGTCATAGCTGCCTTGACACTCCCTAGTCCCTACTTCTTCTCTTTCTTAACATTTGCTTTAATTACTTCAAAACGATTACAGGAAAAAAAAGATAGCATGAGGATTTGAGGGTAGATGTTATGCTTGAGTTGGTTAGGAATAGAACATAATCCGTCAAAACACAACTCATGTCCATTTCTGGTAGATTTTAATCATTTGATCATATTTTCATCCAGCATATGTTTTGCAGTTGACTTGCATCCTACGTGCAAAATAATTGTTTCCTTGTCTGACCTTTATAAATATGTCCCATTGGAACATTTTTTATTTTGATTATTCTTTTATTGCATTTAGAATGGGTTCATACTTATTGTACCCGGGCATGTATTTTTGAAGTCCAAGAATCAAAGAGATAGGAGTTATATGAAGTGTAACTTCTGTTTAACCTTGTACAAATTTGCTCAATTTGGTTTAGTAAACTTTCTCAAAAAGTTTTTGCTCAATTTGTTATTAGATTTTACTGTAAGGTACTATTTTGTCTGGTTGCGTAGGTACAAAACAACCGAGAAAGGTGAGAAGCTTGAGCCTTTAGAAGAAGTGACAGTTGAGGTACTTTAATTTGCCTGCGGGGATCTGATATTGAAGCACTATAATCTTCAAATTTTTTTCTTGATCCATGGGAGGTCTGTCAAGACATTGTTCATGAACAAGGCTCTTCTTTCAGGTGAATGAGGAGCATGTGGGACTTGTGATGGAAGCACTATCGCATAGACGAGCTGAAGTTGTTGATATGGGTCCTGTTCCTGGTCATGTTGGCAGGACGAGGATGTCTTTGACTTGCCCATCACGGTGTGGAATTCTTTATCTCTTTCTTAGCTATTAAGTCCAATTTTATGATAGTTTTAATTGAAATTCAAGTATTAACTTCCAGAATCATTAAGTAGGACACTTGTCTTGCATTTCTAAGTTGTCTCTACTGATCCGCAGATTGTTGCATTTCGTCATTTTATTTTATTACTCTGCGCTTAGTATTCAGTTCTTCACTAAGTTGAATATGTGATTATTTGAAAATATATTCACCAATTTTCTTAATCCTGTGGTTGAAGCATTGTTTCACATCCTAATTAGTTTTTAGTTCTTCTGCATACCATTGCAAACAAGATCTGCTCCCATAATCCATTTCAAACCCAATTTTTTGTTGTTGATTTACATTCCATGGTAGCCTCTATTGTTATTAACTCCTCTGTCCTAAACATCTTCATTGACTCTCTTAACCATCAAAATGAAGGGAAAAAAGAATAAACTCATATGCTCTCTTTTGAGTCTGAAACTCCTCCGTTGATCTTTATATCAGTTTTGTTAATCGGTCCAAAACCTTTGGATTCCCTTGGAATAATTTCCAGGTAGGGCTGACAATGAGCCAATTGGTCCAGACTGCTGGGCCTGAGAAACCAGGCCCGGCTTGGGCCTTAGAAATTGGGCCTGGCTTGGGCCTGAGGTATCATGTCCAGTTGCTTATGGGGGCAGGCCTGGCCTAGCCAATACTTTCATGCATATATTAAATGCTTGAAAGATTGCATTAGTTGGTCCGCACACTCACTGTTTTTCTGCAGCTGCTACATCTTATTGTTGGATCCTACTATAAAGCCTAGATGGATTTGATACTTTAGGGTTTTACAGTGCAGAGAAAAGTAAGATAGAAAATGAAAACTGGACCAATTCACAGTTAAGTAGTGTTTATAGGGAATATGATTACATGTTTGCCCTCTATTCATGCACACTAAGTACATGGGTTCTTGGACTACAGAGATGCTCTTAAGTGCTACAATACATATTATATTCCACCAACTGTATACAGCATTATCTTGTATTGCTGCATGGATGTCAAACATGCCCATCTTGGAACTAAGTGTGTACATTCCAGTCTTTCCCATCTCTTCAATAAAGCAATCAAGTACCTGATATGAACTTGCAATTGCTTTCTCATGAACAAATTGACAATCAACTTCAATATGTTTGGTGCATGTATGGAAACTTGGTTTTATAAGTTATTTGGTACCATACTACGCCACACTGCTAGACTAACTGCTATATTATATGTACTAAATTATTCGACATTATTATATTATATTATTTTGGTATTCTATGTTACTAGCTAGAGACAGTGGAACCCTGTAACTTAGGATCGCAACCCCTAATAGAATAATCAAGAGTCCAAAGTTTAAAAAATGTGGAGTGGGACTCCTTCCTTGGAGCGCAAGAGTGAGATTTTGGAGCGTAAGCGACTGCTTTATTGGAAGATCCTGGTAACTGTGGTAGGAACCATGATGCAATGGTCCACCTCTGTATTGGGACAGTGTTCTAGGCCGCAAAATTGCCTCTAAGAAAACTACAATATCGTGTGGTAGAATGTTATTAAGTTGCCCATACCGTACTTATGGGGGTCCTTCCAAGGAGGGGGTAGCTCCTTGTTTGGGAGCTTGATCCCGTACTCCGAGACACAAGATCTCAATTCCGGCGTTTCATTAATTTAAGGATCTGGATCTAGGAAATGGAGGAACTAAATCCTAGGTTAATGGGATCTAGATCACTATGCCTAAAATCATGGTTCCATGAGTAACTGGAACCGCGATACCACCAATTGGTAATTGAATGTCTTCCACTTTGGGATTGAGTTTCACCTTTACATTTTCAATTTCATAGACAATGGAGTGTGGATCTCCAAATTTTTTTTAGCCGATAAACTTTCTAAAGGCCCTAATTTCCTATATAATTTACCAATGAACGAAAATTTGGCTGCCTTGCTGCCTATGCGGCAACGTCTAGGCTATGTCTGTAGGTGGTGGGTATGCCTAAGGCTCTAGGTGGTGGGTATGCCTAAGGCGCCTGCCTAGGCGGGCTCAAGGCGGGTGCCTAGGCGGCAAGCTCAAGGCGAGCTCCTAGGCAGTCTGGGCTCCCACATAGTGCCATCCTTTAAAAAAAAAACAAAAAAGGAAATTCAAATCCACCCAAACAAAATTAAGGCCTAGTATTGCCCTTCTCTCTCTCTCTCTCTCTTCTCTCTCTCTCTTGGGTCCATGTGCTCTCTCTATATATGAGAAGAAGAAGAAGAATATGGATTCCAAGTGTTCGATGCGCGACCTATCTCTCACGCACACACATACACGCACAAAGATATACATGGGCCCATAATCTCCCTCTTTACATGTAAGAAGAAGATGACCTCCAAGTGTTCGATGCGAGATCCCTTTCTCTCATAGACTCTCTCTCTCTCTCTCGACATATCCTCCAAGTGTTCGAGACCTTTCTTTAACAAATACAGAGCCAAAAAAAAAAAAGAAAAAAGGAGGATGAAGTTTAAGAATTTCATGCGAGACCTCACACACATACATGTGCATGCTCTCACACACACTAAATGCATACACACACATTCACAAAACACACACACACACACAAAGCAACATATGGCCCCTATCCCAACTCCTTCCCTTAGGGATGCCTTTGTGTCTGGGCACCCTTCTAGGTGGCCCAGGCCCGTGGCCACCTCCGCCTTTTTGAACATTGTAATTTACAATTTACAACTTCACACGCCTTGTGAATCATGACTTGTGACTAGTTTCGAAGAAAGGCAATAAGAGAGAGCAGGGAAAAAGAAGTAAGAAGATGGAAGGAGATAGCGAAGGTAGTTGAGTTGTGGTTCTATTCAAGGAATGAGGTTGCGATCAATAGGCTTAACTTCCTTGGGGCTAGTTCATTGGGTCATGTCCACCTCTCAAGGTACACCTTTATTGCTTGAGTGGTAATCCAAATTGAGCCACTCATGGGGTTGCCTTATGGGTGATGGAATAACATTTATGATTAGTAATGGAAGGTCTCTCATGTCTATATGTTATTGAGTCCCTAGCAATCTTTGACAAAGGAGAGCTATTGAGAATTATATATAGCAATGTCTTTCCTTTTTTTTCAAGCTTATCTATTGCAGCACTTCTTTTTTGAAAACAATACGTTGCAACATTTGTACATGTAATCATCAATTGATAGTCGAGGGAGAATTATCCGATCCAACCGATTGGTGCAAAAAATGATGCCGTGTGCCTATGTAGGCGGACCGCAGACCAATGTAAGTAGGTGTACAAGTTTTTTAATGGACCCACATGAGTAATTTTTTGGAGCGAATTTGCTTAAATAATTGTTTGAAGGAATTCACTCTTGAAATAGAATACTGTGGATAAGTGATCTTTGGGAGCCTCGATCTTATGCTCGACGGACCGCGATCCCATTCGGTGCATTCATTCTTGGGAAGTTATGGAATGCACTTCCTTAATCTTATGGATCTCCATCCTGTTACCTCACAAAATACAAAACTCGTTCCTTCAATTACAGATCTTTGAGTTTCTCTTGCTCCTGCTTTCCTGCTTCTGAACTTGGAGCCCCCTCGCTCTCATTCCTGGTAACTATGACCCGGACGACATTAGAGTTTCCTACTAACTGTAGTTTTGCATTACGAGATGACGTCAGTCCCTTTCCAATAGGTCACTTGGGGTAGTGCAAGATCCTGGTGACAATATTCCTAGGTGTAGATCGGGGTGCATGCATGAATTGACTAGCCAGATCCACAACATGAGTATATCAGGCCTAGAAATAGTCAAATAGTTGAGTTTCACAATAAGTCCCTGACATTATTCTACATCTTCCACATGAGTGAGATCCAATGTTATATGCATGCATTGCTGAATCATATATTTCAATCCCTGCCTGGTTTCTGTAAGTAGATCAAGAGCATAATTATGCTAAGAAATGAAGATCCCTAGTCTTCACTGTGCCGCCTCAATACCAATGAAGTATTTGAGAGAGCCCAAGTCCTTGATGTCAAGCTTTCGATGTAGGTATCGCTTGAGACTTGCAATAGTCTCCTTTTCATCACCCATAAGGAGAGTGTAATCAACATAAACTAGAAGAATAGCACTACCTTAAGGTTACCTTTTGACAAACATTGAGTAGTTCAACACTACTCTTATAAAATTCATCACTTATTCAAGGCATTGTGAAACGTCTCAAACCATGTCAAGGTGATTTTCATCAACCCATAGAATTCTTTACGAAGCTGGCAAGACAAGGAAGGATAGAATTCGGTGAATACATCCAAAGAAATTTAAGGGTAGCTCTAACAGGTGACCAAATGATGGAAAGTAGACTCAGGTGGTCTGGTCATGTGCAGCGTTGAGCGAGAACAACACTAGTTAGGAGGGAGATTTGGTTCAATTGGAAAGCTAACCTTTAATATCTTCTACTCAATGTTTAAAATTTCATCGATCTAGATTGAAAATCGCCGATACAGGTCGGGAATAGCCCAAGAACTATCTGGTTCTTGGGCTGGATCGGTGTTAGCATGCTCCAACCTTACATGCTCATGGTTAGCATGCTCCAACCTTACAGTCGAGGTTTGACATTCAAACCCCAAAGTGTGTGCCCTTCTCCTTTTAAAATAAAAACCTCACGTGCACTTTCGAAAAGGTTTACTCAAATGAATTTTCCATTAAAGGCTAAGATGCAAGGAATCAAACCCCTGACCGAACACCTCCAAAGTGCACAGTCTAGCTGGGAAAACACCTTCACTTTTTGTTAAATTTGTAAATTATATATTGTATACTCCCCAAAATTTTTTGTTTTCCCTTTTTTTGTATAGTTTTGCTGGATCACCAGTTCGGCCGATCCAGATAGCTGATTTTGCCAATCCGGATTGGGATTGTTAAGGGATGATCCATCAATCTGATCCATTTTATCTCCTACCTATACCAACCACACAACCAAATACTTGTGTTGACTAGAATTCTGCCGGACCCTTGGAT